AGGTCCTCCTACCTTGAAGTGGTCAAGACATGCTCTTAGCCCAACCCTCCCAGATGACCCAAACCCAGCTTGGAAAGATACCTTAGGCACCATTCAAAGGTCACCAGTTCCCTAGGGTAGGACTCTTGAGAGCAGAGCCTGCAGAAACCATGATCATCCATTTAGCTAACAGTATGAAATATATGCACCCTGACAGAAGAGCCATATGGGCTGGATAAATCCCACCATTCTGAAGACAATTCGGGTCACATGGTAGATTGGAAATTCGGACATAATGCTGAATGAGAGTTCAAGTTGGCTACCCAGGAACCCTTTTCTAGACAGCATCCCTCAACATCTTAAATTGTGTTCCACAATCTAAAAGGGGCCCTAGAGATTAGTACAAACCTCTCAGCAAGTGGCAGAACTGAGACAGAGAGAGAGGGAGTGACCTACACTATATGAACCAACAAGTGGCAAAGCTGGAGACAGAACCCAGGGCTCTCCAAACCTCCATACTCTGTGGCCACTTCTGGAACCACACAAACATATTTTTTTCTACCATCATTTCTGAACTAAATATAACTTTGGCTCTGCCTCCTTATCCAAAAGCAAGGGGCATGGCTGGATGATCTTCCCCATTGGTCTTCAGCATAAGAACTCCAGAGTACAAAAAGATAATTACAACTAGCCTACCAAGTATTGACTCCCCCCAGATGTGCTTTGTGAGCTCTTGCTCACTATTACAACACACTAATTTCCCCAGTGAGCAGACACTTGATAAATGCTGAGAACTGATGAGCTGATTAATGAGCTTAATAAATAATAATGTTTAGAGTTTCCTTTCTGAACTCACAGCCAAAGTAGTTCCACTAAATGGCTTTTTTTCTCTTTTCTTTTCTCTTCCACTTGCTTATAAATTTTGAGACTCATCATGCAATGTGTCAGGGAAGCAATTAATTTGGGGTTTACCCTGTAAAAAGAACACCAAAGTTCATAGAAGAAAATTTTCCCAAACCAAACATGAACCAGAAAAATGTACAGTGCCTCCAATTACACACGTTGCTCCAGGGTGCTCTCATCTAATGGTCTGTCCGTGTCAAGAGCCACCTCTCCGGCTTCCAAGAAAGAGGAGAACCCAATTATTTAATCCAAGCACGAGTTGAGTTCTAGAGAGACATCTCAGGGCAGAGGCCACTGATAAATGAAGGATAAGATAGTAGTGGCCAAGTTGCAGCAAATCCTCCAGCCCCAGTCCAACCCTCAGAAAACCACGGTCCTGCAGCCTCATGAAAGACTGATCCAGAAGCACCCAGCTGAGCCAATCTGATTTCTGACACACAGCCTATGTGAAAAAGGATTCAACGTATTGTGTTAATGCCACTTTTAAGTTCTAGGCTAATTTTTAATAGAGAAACGTCACTAATATAGCGTCAGTAATGGATCCCTGGATTCCAGTTTGGATGATAGGTTAGATGAGATTCAAAACCAGAAACTGTCATGGGGAAGAGGGTAGTGTCCATTTGGGGGATGTTGAGCTTGGAGGTCTTGGGTGAAGGTGGCCCATGGACCATGGGTATAAATGTTTGAAGGTTAAAAGAGAAAGATCAGGAGAGGGAGAGGTTGGAAAATAAACTTAGGGAAGAGTTCATGGAGCAGAGAGAGTACAGGGCTGAGGAAGGGCCCCAGAGAAGACCACAGTGAAGGCGGCTGAGGACAAGCCATCAGAGAGGCAGAAAGAGACTAGGGAATAAAGTAGTGTTTGGGAGAGGGAGAGTTTTGGAAAGCCATGGACTGAGAGGGGCAACTCTGAAGTCCCGAGGGGCAACATGGTGGCCTTGGTGAGAGAGTAGCTCCAAGTTTTCAGTCTTCTAAGTTCTTCTGGCTGAGGGCTTTCCTCAGTGAAGTCACTCCTAAGTATCCTGGACACCCTCCCTGTCCCCATATGGATACCAAAATTCCTGGGTGCTCAAGTCCCTTAAACAAAATGGTGCAGTATTTGTGTGTCACCTGTGCCTTCTTTCTGTGTACTTTCAACCACATCTAGAGGACTTACAGTGCTAATTCAATACACATGCTATGGAAATCACTGTTATACTGCAATTTTATGTAAATCATGTTTTCTTGTTGCATTTCTATTTTTAAAAATCTTTTCTCTCCACGGTCCAATCGGTGGATAAGGAACCTGAAGGTTGAGTCGACTGTTCATCCTCCCACAGACAAAGGACAACCCACCCTCACCCTGGACCAAGAATGTTCAGGCAAATTTTCCAACCCTGGGAAACAGATCACCTAGAGCTTGTGGGAAGAGAGGCTCCTCACATAGGTGGCCCCTGTTCCTTGTGCTTATGCT